GTTCTCAGTCCAAAGGACACCTTTTAGTATTTTTTGTAAAATTAGTCTAGTTATTAAAATTGCTTTAATGTCTGTTTATCTGAAAACATCCTAATTTCACCATTATATCTGAGGCACAGCATTACTAGGTATATGATTTTTGGTTGGCAATCTTTTTCTTTTAGAATTTTGTGTATGTCATCCCCTTGCCTTCTTGTTTTGTTTCTTTTAAAGCTTTTATTGTGAATTGAGGGAAGGTTTACAAGGCGGTTCATCAGTTTTACATTCAACAAATCATTGCAATGACTACAATCCCTTCCATGAACAATCAGCTAACAGTATTTACCTCTATTACCTTTTTTTTTTTTTTTTTTTTTTAATATATAGATACACATACCACATTGAAAATATGGTGGTGGTAGTGGTGGTGGTTGTGTACCGTGGAGTCAGTTCCAACTCATAGCAACCCTGCATAGGGTTTCTGAGGCTGTAAATCTTTGCAGGACCAGAAAGCCTCACCTTTCTCCAGCAGAACTGCTGGTAGTTTTGAACTGCTGACCTTGAGGTTATATATTCCTTTAAATGTCCAAAGGGCACATTTTGAAAGCTAACCGCCTGCCCGCAGGCACACTGTCTTTCTCAGTCCATGGTCCTATAGTCCTCTGCTGCTGTGTCTCTCTATGCCATCGTCTTTGCCACCATCTCTGTTGTTGCTACTTTTCTGGTTAAGATCCCTTGCTCCTCTCATGTTCTTCTCTCTTGATGGCCCTAGGGCCCTCAGTTCCTGAAATGACAGATTAACTGCTCCCCTCTCTTAGTTACACCTCTTCTGTATTTATAATTGTGATCATCGCCATTAGACCTGATAACAATTACTCATAATTGAATCATAAAATCCTATCCCTTTCATCACCAGACATATCTGGATAAGAGGAACACTATTCAGTGGGGATTCTATCTTACACTCCTCAGTTTGACACTAAGTACCCTCATGAAAGCTTGTAAGCCAGCCACTTTGTGCCTTTATAGTCCCCCAATTTTTTTTTTTTTTTCACAGTAACAAGTTTATTGTGTCATTCAGCTTAGGCTATAAACACAAAACATTTTTTAACTTAAGGAGAATAAGAAAACAATGGACAATTGCTAGAATATTACTACAAACTTAACAGAGTAAAATTACACTACTCAGTCATTTTGGTCATCATCCCAGTCTTTCTTCCCGCTTGGAGGCTTCGGTCCACCAGCTGGTTTTGCCATGATAATCTGATCCACTCTAAGTACAGTGACAGCAGCGTGGGTAGCCAGTTTGATAGCCCAACATTTCCCCAGATTCCAACATGTCCTTTAACTGCAGGGACTTCAGCCTCAATATCTAATCCAACAGTTTTGTTTCCTTCTTGCTGTACTGCATACAGTTTAGAGATTACTTCATTGGCCTTAACACCTGAATTTTCTGCCAGTGCCTGGGGAATAGCTTCAGATGCCTCAGCGAACTTCTTAATGGCATACTGTTCAAGCCCAGGACATGTCTCTCCATATGATGTGATCTGTTTGGCCAACTCAATTTCTGTTGCTCCACCTCCAAGTATAAGATGTTTATCCCTTGGGAGAACTTTGAAAGTGTTAACACCGTCATCTACTGCTCTTTCTATATCATCCATGAGATTGTCGGTAGAGCCTCTAAGTACTATGGTAGAAATGGCACCATCTTCCTTTTCATGCTTAAAAACAACCACCTATGTATCTCCAACTTCTGTCACAATGGCCTAGATCTTCGATGACAGGAGGAGTCAATCTAGGAAGAGCTATAGCACCAACTGTTTTTCATAGTCTTCTGAGATCACATTTTGAATTAAGTCTCACCAACATGATATTGTATTTGTTTGCATAGTGAAGAGCCATGTCTGCCATTTTGTCACCTGTTACTATGACATTTGCACCGTTATCCACAATAGCTTTGATTTGTGCATCCATGAGGTTTTCTTCTCCTTTACTAAAAGTCATCAGTTCTTCAGCTGTCTTTATCAATACTGTTCCCTTAGTTTCTGTTATCATGCCATCAAAAGGACAAGGGTACACTGCTATTTTTGTATCTTTGACAGATGTTGCATCACCTTCAGTTTCCTTTTGAAAAACCATGGCATGCAATACTAATGAAGACTAGACACCAGAGCCCAGAATTTTACAAACTCTGATGTTATCAACATTGAAATGGCCGGAATCAGGAAAAATAAACACACATGTCTGAGCAATAAGCTTGGCCAGAAACCCTTCATTACCATACTGTTTACTCATGATGGAAGTGTGGAGAAGAGATGATACTTCATCAGCGTCATGAAGGTTTTTGGCAGAACAACATACCAAATCAGGAAGCATCTCATGGGCTTTTCTACAGGCTGTTTCATAACCTTCTATGACCTCTGAAACTGATAGGCCAATTATTAGAAGTTCTTCAGCTAATTCTAGAAGAGCACCAGCAAATACTAGAACAAAGTTTGTGCCATCTCTAAGTTCTTGCTCTTGCATGTGAGAAGACATTACAATCATTTTTGCAGCAGGATGTTGTACTTCTAGCTCTCTTAGAATAGTTGTCACAAACAACTTCTCCAGGTGGTTGATAACCATTTTGTTCATTCCATTTGGGCCATATACTGCACAAGTAGTTTGGGCATGCTCCTTGCAAGCTTGGATGTTCCTGTACACAGCCTCTTCTAATCCCGAAAAATGTTTTGCTCCTTTCTTGAGCATCTGGGCAAAACCCGGGGCCTTGGGGATGTGTAGCACCATGGCCAGTCCACAGACAGCAGTTCATGCACTCACTCCACAAATCCTGGAGGACTAGCCCCCAAATTTTGATAGCCACAGTCTTAAGTTGCTTGTCCCTATCAACCCAGTGTACTAAGGAGGCAAGCTTGATCCTTGATATGAAGAATCCTTTCCTTTCAGTTGGAATTTTAGGAAACTTCATCCATAAGCAAAGATTTAGTCCATCAAGTTGTAACAATTTACACTTGTTCCCTGTATCAAACTTCTTTATCTTTATCTGATTGAGTATTGCTCAGCAAGCCATCTAAGCTAGGTCAAATGGGTACTATCTGTAAATTTAGGAGTTCTTGCATGCCTCCTCCCACTTCAGATCAGTTGGGTGCTTCACTCTTAAGTCTAGGCCCCAGTGGCTAGGTTAGTGTCCTTGGGTTTGGGAGTTTACACATCTCCCTGAACTTCAAACCAGCCAGCCCTTCCTCTTATCTCTCTCTTCTCAAGGTCATCAGTGTCTATGAAACGTGGCCAAACTCAGCCTGCCTGTGTCTTCATTGCTGCATTTCCCCCACTTCTGCTCACCAGTTGAGGGCTATCATCAGTGAGCCTACAAGGTTGTTTGTGTGTTTCCTTTGGGTTTCAGTCTTAGAAAGGGGTTTGCCTTGATGGGCTGACTTCTCTTGCCTTGATTGCTCCAAGGCAAACAGCTTGCATAATATTGTCACAGCCAAACAGTCTGCTCTCCCCCATCTTTCTTCTTAATTGGGAATGTCCCACCTCTGAAGGTTCTAGGTGGGGCTCAGGATTCTACCTAAAGCTCCATACTCCACAAAGGCTTAACAAGAAGCCTATTTCCCTGGGCATATTGTAGTACCCTTTTAGATAACCCAATCAATTATAGGTTGAAGATGGGCTTACAAGCTTTCTGTAATCATATTTCCCAATATTCCTTTCCATCCTACTTAAATGTCTGTATTACAATAGTAGTCAGGGGAAACCAATATCTACAAAGCAGTCAAGCACCTTAACATTATTTCCCCTCCTTTACCCCTTCAGACTGGAGTCCTGGTGTAGTACTGTGGGTTAATGCGCTGGCCTGCAAAGTCGGTTTGAACCACAAAGTTGGCAGTTCAAGCTCACCAACTGCTCATCAAAAACCCTATATATACGGAGTTGCTATGGGTAGGAACTGACTCCACAGCACTTAACAACAACCCCTTTAGACTATGTCTCGAACCCTATATCATAAAGCCCTCTTATTCCTAGGCTGTACATACATCATAATCTATACCTGCATTCCATTCAGCCCATGCATGCCTTCCTACGTTTTCTCCTATCATCCCCGTTCATCTACCTTCCACCCCGCCTGCATGAACCGAGAGCATAGTCTTATTGATTCTCTTTTGTAGGTAACTTTTCATTTTTCCTGAGCTGCTCCCAGGATTCTTGTCTTTGATTTTGGTAAGTTTGATTATGATATGTCTTGGTGATTTTCTTTTGGGATCTATTCTGTTTGGAGTTTGTTTGGCTTTTTGAATGTTTATCTTTGTGTCTTTCATGGTATTAAGGAAGTTTTCTTTTAGAAAATTTGAAAACTTTCTCCATGCTTTTTTTTTCTCTTCCTGTTCTGGAATTTCAATCACCCATAAGTTATTCCTCTTCATGGTATCCCACATAATCCTCAGGCTTTCTTCTGATTTTTTTTTTCTCACTATTTTTTCCTTTACCATATTAATATATTGTCCATTTCTCAGATTTTAGTATTAATCTTCTGGATTTCTATTTGTAGATTTTGTATTATTTCAACATTTGCATTTATTTTATATTTGTTCTTGTAGTGCTTTCCTAAATTCTTCTAAAGTTTTTTTCTATGTTCTTGCTTTCCTCGATTTTTCTGTCAGTTTGTTGAAGGTACCTAAATATCATTCTTTTGAATGCTTTCTCAGGTATTTCCATACCTTTTTTTCCTCAGAAACATTTTCTGGCTCTGCATCTTGGTCATTTGTTTGAGCCTTTCACTCTTGTTTCTTCATGTGAGCTAAAGTCTTTTGTTGTCTCTGAGATAGTGTAGTGTCGTTGTATTTGTATTTAACTGGTGTGTTCTTAGGCTCTCACCAACTGTTCCTGGTGGGAGTGATTAGAGAATGAAAACGTGTGCACCATTTTCTGTTTGTCATTCATCAGCTTACTTTAGGGTGAGTTTGACTGGTATTGCCTGATGTCTATCATTGATTGGGTGAAATAGGAGCTGGTATTGGCTCATGTCTGCAGCAGAGCTACAGAGGGTATGGTTGTGACTGAGCTGTATGTGCATGGCTGCTGTCTGGTCGGGTGGGGCAAGAAGAGAAAATGCACACAAGAAAACAAAACAGAGCAAATGAACAAGCAAACAATAGCAAAAAAGGAATTAATAAAGGAGAAAAAAGAAAAAATGGGCAGCAGCAAAAAAATAATGTAATCAGTAAAATAACAAAAGAGAGACAGCACAATAGACTTGTAGAAGAGAAAAATAACAGAGAAAATAAAAGGAAGAGAAAAAAATGCTAAAAAATGGGAAGATGAAAAACAAAAGAGACTAGAGAGTAGTAAAGAAAAATCAAGAGGAAAAAAATAAGGAAAAAAGGGTAGAAATGAGAAACAGAAGAAAAGGAGAAGAAACTAAAGCAGAAATCCTTATTGTTGTTGTTAAGTGCCGTTGAGTTGGTGGTGACCTATAGCAATCCTGTTTAGGGTTTCTGAGGAGCAGCTGGTGAGCTTGAACCACTGACCTCAAGTTCAAACCAACTTAGCAGTTGAGAACATTAAACCACAGAAAGCATAAAAATTGAAGAAAGGAAAAGGGAGGAAGAAGGAAAAGAAAGAACAAGCAAATAAAAACAATGAAACATTGAAAACAAAAATATACAAAAAAACCCCAGTGTAGTTGTTGAACCCAGAGAAGAGAAAACTCTGAGTGGCTCTTGCTAGCCAAGGAACTCACAAAGTGAGTGGAGGAGGGATGTGACAGTGAGTTCCCAGCCCTAGATGGAGTTCCTATAGGCCTAGGTGAACACAGTTCCTATGTTCTGGAAGCAGCTCATAGAGGTTCTTCAGGTTGCTAGTTTCAGTGTCTGTCAGAATCAGGGCAGCTGGGGGCCAGAGTGGCTGATTATGAAAGTTCCTGCTAGTCTAATTCTAGCCTGGAGGCCTTGTGCTCTGTAGATCTGAAGCAGAGCCTGCTTCAGGGCACCGCAGCAGAGCCCTGTTAGGGCACCACAGCAGACACCCACCTCACACTGCCTCAAACTATGTGGTTCTGGGTCTCTGCTCAGGGGAGATGAGGGTGGGAGCCAGCTTCACCTCTGTTGTCCAGGGGAGTGTGGGGAGCCAGAAGGAGTCCCACCTTTTCTGTGAATCTGCACTGTCAGGTCGCCCTCTGTCTGTCTCTCCAAAGTTGCTTGCAAAAGTTCCAAATGGCTCCATCATGTCTGCTCGGCAGTCAGTTAGTTCACTAATCTTCATTCACAGTCCAAGCGCAGTGTCTCCTCCCAGTAGGTATTCAAGTCACTTCTTTAACCATTTTTCTGAAGTTCAGGGTCCAACTATTGTCCTCTGTGCCTGTTTCATTGTGCTGGACTGCAAGGTCCGGTCGAACCACAAGGTGGGTGGTTCAAGCTCACCAGCTGCTCCTCAGAAACCCTATGAGTTGAAACTGACTCAACAGCACTTTACAATAACAACAAACAGTCCTTGTTGTAAAAGGTCTATATAGCATGTTTTGCTAGACCGCAAATCTTCTGTTTTTGGTTTTTTTGAGGGCCCAGTTTTTATTTAATGAGTTTAACAAACTGATTAAATTGGGCTTGTTATCTAGGGTCTAGATAATATTATTAGAAGTTTGGGATATCTAATCAAATCTAAATAAATTTCTTAATGAAAGTGATTTTAATTAACAGAGAGATTTTGACTTTCAGAAATGTTTGCTAACTAGGTGCAGCGCTTCTCAAAGTGTGATTCCAAGTCAGCAGCTGAAACATTACCTCACATTAGACCCCCAAATCCCAAAACCCACTGTGTCGATGCGGACTCCTAGCTACCCTATAGGACAGAGTAGAACTGCCACATCTGACTCCCATGGAAACACTGGTGAGTTTGAACAGTCAATCTTTTGATTAGCAGCCAAACACTGCTTGCCATCAGGGTTCCTTAAGTAGGTGCAATACTTCTCACAAAGGGTGAGTCTTCCAAATCGGCAACGTAAGCGTCTCCAGATGACTGAATCAAAAACCCTGGGAGTGGGGCCCAGGAATCTGCATTAAAACCTCCAGATGATTCTGATACAGACTCAGGCTTGAGAACCACTGAACTAGAAGGATGACTAGTGAATTTCACTAGGGAATGAAGTGTGTAATTTAAATCATTGGTTTAATTAATCAATTGTGATTAATTAACTAGAGCCACACCAGAAAGAGATTACAGGAACTCAAGACTATGTCCTCAGCCACCCTTCAGGTCTGGAACAGAACTCAACCTAGTGACCCAGTTTTCAACCAAGCAATAGATAGGATTTGGGGGGACAACAACACAAATAAGGTATGCTCACCATACAATGGTCATTTATTCAAGATTAAAAGGACAACATTTATCTAAGAACAACACTGAGAAGGGATGGGAAGGAGATGGGAACCACAGGGAGAAGTGGGAAAACTCTTGATACATGGAGGGGATTGCAATCATTAAGATGAAACAAAGTGTATGACTTGTTGAATGTAAAACTGATGATCTCTGTAAACTTTCACTCAATTCACAGTTAACAGTGAAAAAGAAAGTAAGGGCACTTAAGAACCTAAACTCCCCTGAATTCCAAAAAAAGAGTATTTTCCTGTGGGCCTGGCCAGACTGATGCAGTTGACAAGTAGGAATAAGAGATGCTATAGTCTCCACACTTTAGGCAAACCTCAGGAGATTTTGTCTCAGCCCCCTTGACTTGGAAGAGGTGGATGTGTTGGGCCTTAAGATGGTGGTGAGAGGGGGCTCTGGGCCCCATTTCAGGAAGCGTCTTTTTTTTATTTTTTATTTTTATTACACACTTTATTAAAAATAAAGTTTTTATTTTTATATATATATATAAAGCTTTACACTTATTCCATCATTTTTCGTTTCATTGCAATGATTTCACTTCCCTCCATGCATCATCAGACAACCAAAGGGTACACCCCACAGGTCTGCTCCCCAGCTGTCAGCACACAGCCCCTCTCCCTCCATGAGTCCAGAGTCCCTAGGTACTCCATCTGTCCACATCATAGTCTCTGCCTCCATCTTTGGCATCACTGCTTCTCTGGGTAGGGTTCCACACTCTGCTCTTCTGCAAAATCAACCACTCCCTTCCTTTTGTTACAAAACATTTACCTTTACATTTCCTACCCTCACAGTCAGTTCTGATAGCAATTATTCACTATTGTACCACAAGAGTCTTATCCCTATCTCCTTTCATCAGCCCGGTCCCAACATTTTGGAAACCACTCAGTGGATATTCTACTTTCCCCTGCACCCTCTGGAACTAGGCTACTTCTTGAAAGCTTGTAAGCCAGTCACTTCTTGCCTTCCCCCCACCCCCACCCCACCCATTTTGGGTAGTCAATGTCTAAGTTGCCCATCCTTGTCAACCCTGTATACCAAGGGGGTGGGAATGATCCTTGCAGTAAAGATTTGTTCTCTCTTTTGAGCTACTACATCCGTAAGTATAGGTCAAGTTCATCAAATTGTAGTGGATTACTCTATTTTTTTCCCCTCTTCTTTCTTCTTCTAGTCAAGTTCTGATCATCTAGCCATTGAAGCCAGGTCAAGTGGGTACTATCTGCAAGTATGGGTGTTCTTGTGCATCTCCCCTCACTTTTTATTTTTATCAGCTGGATGAGGAAGCATCTTTTTTGAGCCTTTCTGGTCTGGACTTGGTAGAGGTGACAGACAGGAGTTTGGAGACCCTGGAGAGGTGCATACTGAAGAATGGAAAGGAAAAAAAAAAACCCAACTCCTGGTTTGGCACTTTAGGATCAGCACTAAACCGAGAATTACAAGGTTGACAGTTCAAGCACATCAGCTGCTCCTCAAAAACCTTATACAGATCACTGTGAGTCTGAATTGACTCACAGCACTTAACACAATAGTGTGGTGCTGTAGGAGGATAAAAACTGGACTGCGACCTACAAGTTCCGTGGTTTGAACCCACCAACTGCTCCTCAGAAACTCTGAACAGGGTCACTGTGAGTCAGAACCGATTCGATAGCACTTAACAACAGCTGAACCTACTGCAGCCATGCCTTCACCTGAGAGATTGAAGTAGTTAATGCTCTTTTACAAAAAACATAGCACTTAGTGAGAAATGTCATTCATACTAAACTAATACCTGGAATAATGTAATTAATGATATTAGTAAATATGGCAGCATTTCATTCAATTTGACTGTAACAGGTTAAATTTCAGTAAGTAAGAATATAAGTGGAGAGTGATGAGGGAGTGTGAAGGTGAGAGTTGGTATGGGAAAAAATATGAAAACCCATTTAACAAGCAAGGTTAAGAAATTCAACTGGTAAAGAAGAGAGAGTTGAATGAGGAAGGTTTATTACCCAAAGTACTTGTCCCCATGTGGTAGGTGGGACAACTGGATATTAGATTTCAAGTTCTCTCAGTACTTTCACTTTGGTGTAACTAAAGAGGTGTTTTCTGGGTCTTTGATTTGTCCCTCAGGATTCTGTGCCCTCTGACTGGCCCAGACCCCTGAGATTCAGAACCCAGGAGGGCAACACCACATCCCTGCCCTGCTTCTCCAATATCAGCAGAGAAAGACCGGCCATTGTTTCTGTTGCATGGTACCTGGACAAGATGGCCCCTGGGAAGGAGGTGAGGAATGAAACATTAATGTTCTGGGGCCACTTGGCCCCTCTTGATCCTACCCGTTTACTCTGTGAACCCCAGGCTGAGCTGCACATCGGGGACACCAAACACATGGTACCAGAGTCTGTCTGTGCAGGGTTGAGACGCTGGGCCTGGGCTTTGGCACAAGGAATGGGACTCTGCTGGTGGGAAGTGAAGCACTGGGAGGTGGCCCTCTGTGGTTGGAGGCCCCCTGCTCAGGCCTACCTTGTGCAGCTTTTTTTCCTCAGGGCCCCATTTACGAAGTCCCTTCTCCACTACTCCACATTCAGGATCTCTCAGCTAGAAGCCAGTACCATCCTCCTTTGGGCTGCATTCTATGCCTTCAGCTTTTTCTCAGTAGCAACAGACAGCACCATCTATTAATGGGGGAAATGTGAGTAATGGTGGCCAGGGCAAAGGTAGAGGAGACAGGAGGGACAATAAGAGGGCTGAGGAAGGGAGAGACAGAAACCAAGAAAACACGGGGCTACAGTGCTGAGCCACTCCTGTGGTCTCTCTTGCCAGGACCCTGCCACATGGAAATACCCTGCCATCCCTGTCACATAGGAGTCCCTGCCACACTTTGGATGGCCTCTGGAGAATGATTCCAAACCTGTGATCACTGGCCTTCTTCAAGAGACTCCAAGAAATGCCCCTCTGGCCCACCACTTACCCCCCTTTATCAGTGTCCTGCATTTTTCTCTATATTTTTCAGAAGCCCTAGTATGCCCTTCTCCAGGGTTCTCAGGCTCCTGTCTGTCCCCTTGACCAAATCCATACTAGAAAGGCTCAAGAAGGATGCTTCCTGAAATCAGACCCAGAGCCCCCTTCCATCTCCATCCTAAGGCCCAACATACCCACCTCTCCTAAGTCCAAGGGGCTGAGACAGATTGTCCTGAGGTTCTCCTGAAGTATGGAGACTGTGGTATCATTCCTACTTGTCTACAGCATCAGTCTGGCTAGGCCCACAGAAAAAAATACTCTTTCTTGGCATTCAGAGGAACTTGGGTTCTTAAGTGCCCTTCTTTTTTTCTCTTTTATTGTGAATTGAGCGGTTTACAGAAGAAATCATCAGTTTTACATTCAATAAATCATC